GATCAGAAATCACCCTTGTTCCCTTTTACACCAATCACTGGCTTGCTAAATTACTTGGTCACTTCATTTTTATTTTGCCTGTTTACCAAGGTACCAAATAACATTTTTTATATATATATATTTTATATATACTGACATGTGCTGACAATTAGGCGTTTGTACCTCTGTGTCTCCCAGGACAAGTGTGCCATACTGTGGGTTTCTGTTCACTGCTCCCCCCTGCCTGGCCACAAACTATTATTTTTCAAGCTGTCCCTGCGTTTCTCTGCTTTCCCTCAACTTTCTTGCCCTGACACAGCCTTCTCCCTGTCCCTCCCCTGCTTCCCTACCATGGCCTTTTCCTACAAAGCTGCTTAGCTCACTGCCTGTGATCCCCTTACATCCAGCATTGCCCAGCAAGTTCAAACTCACACTCAAGCATGCCTGTGTTTATAAGGTGTCTGTGCCAATATATACTAACTCACGGGCCGATGGAAATTTCGATGCTGTGGGAAACCTGGCAGAGAGGCAGGACCAGGTGGGAGTCAGCGCTGTGGAAGTGGCCCTGCCTACCCTGGCAGCGCCAGCTGGGCTCCTGGATTAAAGCAAAGGGGAGGAAGAGCCGAGTGAGTTAACACTGAAGCACCACTGCAGCTGTGACTTGGCGGCTGGCTCGGGAGCAGGGTTGGCGAGGCCAGGGATGAGGAGCTCAGGCTGGGTTTTTTCACGGGGCTGTCTGATTAGGGCGTCCCTGGGGAGGAGTGTGATGGAGAGAGCCCAGCACCACCTTTGGGAGGGGGCTGGTTTGTGAGAAGTGTTTTGGGTTGATGGCAAGGACCTGGGGTGGGGGTGCTGTACATTCAGGTGCTTTGGGAGGGCAGAGATTCGCTAACTGATAGCCAGGCAGGAGACAGAAGTATCCAGTTCCCGGTGAGACAGGACGCTTGGCCATGGCTGCAAGGAGCTGGCTGGGAGGACAGTGACTGAGGGGAAAGCGTTTGTCTCCAGGGAATATTGCACCTGGACACAGAGACTTTTGTGATGCTTGGATGGGCTCCTTCCTTATTACTGCTCTTTCTCTTTCATGTGTGTGATAAATGTGTGTATGGGGGGAACTTTTTTGCACAAGAGCTTTTCTGACCCTGATGTCCCATGGGATGAAGACCGGTACCACAACAGCTGCATGCCCTTGCTCTGTACGGCGAGCAGGAGGACATTACCTGCCGTGCTGCAGGAGCGCCGAGCGAAAAGGCTTGCAGGAGGCAATGTCCATGCAGCGCCACCGGCTCTCTGACCTCCCCGTCCCTCCACGCTCACCTCCCACAGCTGTGCTCCTGCTCTTGCTTTTCCTCTTCCCCTGAAAAAGCATTTTTCCCTCTTTCTCCCTAGGCTGAGCTACAGCTGGTGCTTTTCACATCACTGCTCAACTGGCCAATTTTCCCATCCTGTTCTTTCTGCCTCGTGTCTCTGTCCAGAGGGTTGTTCACCCTGATGTCCTCCCCCGGCTAGCCCTCTCTCCTGACTCACCCGAGGTACGTGCTGAACGTAGCAAGCGAGTCAGAGAGAGACAGAGAGAACAAAAACTAACAAAACAATGAGGAAGACGAAGTGGCATCATAAAAAAAGTTGAAAGAACACACCATTAGGTTTACAAAGTTAAACTCTCAAAAGCTGGACAAATCCAGACCTAATGCTGCCTTGGGAAGCATAGTTCAGCCCCCTCTTCCCTTCCCCCACACAATGTGTATTATGTGACGATTTGATCGTTTGACTGCATACTATTTTTCCCATGGGACTAGCGCCTCGTTTAGTGTAAAAGCAGGACAGCGTCTGGGAATGAAGCCGGTCTCTACATTTCCTGGACTAAGTGTGTGACTACGAGCCCCATTTCTTACCGTACAACCCAGACAGTGCACTGAATTCAGAGCTGCCAGCTGCTTCGTGAGGTTTTCTGGGGTAGCTGTCCTGCAGCCTCTGAATGTTTCGCAAACATGATTGTCATCACAGGGTGTATCAAAGGTGAGGAGATACTATTTCCAGGAAACTGGGAACTTTTTTTATGATTCGCTACACCTTTTTGCATACTCTGTTGGCCCTGACATTTGTTCAGAACACTTTATATTTTAACTAACTGCTCCAGCAACTTCATTTGCTGTTCTGAGTGCTTGGTGCTTCTATAAATCTATAACCTAGATGTCTCCTACCAGGTGCCCCAAAATAAGAAACCATCAGCCAAACACAGACATGCAGGTAACTCATCTAGAAATGACCAAGGAACCTGACAGAGGCAGGGAGAGTTTCTAGTTCTTGCAGCCGCTGTTTCTTTCCTCAGCTGGCAGATTACCCCTTGTTTTCCCACAGCCCTCTGCTTTGTATCTCCATGTCCCAACTTCTGCAACAACTGATAAACTAGGACTTGGCTTGGTATTTGACCTCGAGTGAGTACACCAGATGAGCTTTCCACTACCTGACACTATTGAGAACTTACGCTGTTGTAGACATTGTTCGACTAATCTGTTGCTGACCATCCTCCACCGAAAAATGCCAGGTTAGTGCACATCATTTTCCCCAGCATGAATAATCTCTTACTTTCTAATTCAAAATTTGCTTCACAAGATAAAACGTAGTAAAAAGAAATGTCATTCCACATTTCAAACTTCTGTGGTGGCATTTGCAGCCTTAAAAATCATCTTTGCTCTTATTCAGCTGATACAT